GCAAAGTAAAGAAATATAGGAAAAACTTGTTTGTTTAGACATTGAAAATATTGCTTGGTGCATTGGGGATATACATACTTACATCTATCATAAGCTGATAAAAATTCAAACCTGATAGATTAACGCCAGTAAAATAGACATAGAGAGAAGTAACCCTCTATGAATAGATTACAAATTCTATTTTGGAAAAGCACCATTAAAATATCTGACATTAAAAAGAAAACTAATTTCCATCTGTAATGCATGCAAAACCCTAATACAGAAATAACTTTGGACGAAACGAAGATCTTTCTTATACACAAATGAGGTTTCCCAACTGCAGACACTGTTCCCTGGTTAATCTCTGAAAAGGAGAACTGTGAATGAGGAAAACCAGACCACGTGGCTACTCACAGCTATAGCAGATCCAAATCCCCGGAGAGATGCTGAGGATGGGAAAGGAAGTAGGTATTGCGTTGTAAGGGAGCTCCTCGATACGGTGACTTTAGAGCTACGATGTATAACGTCACTGAATCATTCTGGTCATCGGGTATGTATTAATAAGTAGGGTGTCTACTTAACGCTACTCCCTGGATTATGCTTGTTAATAGGAATGTATTAATAGATAGGGTATCTATCGTAGGTCTTGTCATATTCCATCTTATTCAGTATTTCATTACAGATACCACTTTGTCTTCTCATACGCGATGGGGAATAATTTCTATCAGCATTCCCACCTTTTCTGCACAAACAAGTGAAACAGAAAATACGAGTAAAATCGAAAACGAAGTCACAGATTGCAAATAAACAAACGACCTATACAACTATATTGAAATTGCCTTGCAAAAACACCCTCTGCAGAGACTGTACATTCTTGAATATCTAATTGTCATTGTGGTATACCTTTGTCTGTGAATCCGGTCCACGTGTTTGCAATGCAGGGAAAACAAACGGAAAGAATTAGCTTTGCACTTTCTTCAGTCAAGTGTTTATTTTACATTGCATTACCAGTACTTCTGCGTCGCCAATTCTATAATAGATAAAATCTTTATGGATGATGCAGTCGCAAAGAAAACGCGAAATAAAAGCACAATACGCAATAAGATACATTGTTCTTACGTATGCCCCTTTGTCTTTTCATTTTCCAAACCTTACCAAATATTCATCGATTTCCTTGCCGGGAACAAAACAAGTGGAGTACGCTTTTGTTGGATGGAATATTCAGTTATTGATAATCTATAACCCCGTCTGTTATAAAACTTCACCATCAGCACCAACCATAAACACGTCAAGAAGTACTTTACTTTGGCAATATATTACAGCGCCCAAACTATAAACCTCAACTATTTTTCCTCATTATCATAAAAAATTACACACTTGGATATAAATTATACACTTCATGGACACAAAATTACAATGGTATATCTTAAAATTCATCAATATCTCATTCAAATCTGTTCGTCTTCATTTATTTAAGCAACTCGCCGTTATTTCCCCCAAGGGTGTCTTCACTACCCACTCGTACTAAAGATACCATGATGGTGTTGCTTTTCCCTACGAGATCCTATTATGGATTTCCCAGCTTAAGGCTTAATATAAACCTCTGGGAAGAACTTGAGAACTTTTAATTTAAAGAGTGAAAGAAGAAAGGTTATTGTCCATTTCAAAGTGCTGGAAATGTATTTTTAGCATTGCTGCCAAATGCCGTTTGAAACTGCCTTTAATTTGCATTAACATTAAAACTATTGGGTTTCCCGCTCGAGGAACAAGAATGAAAAGCTGAATATAATCTTATCCCATCCTTAAACAAAAGACAGGATGTAATTAGACTGATTAGACTTTCTTGTCATTAAACTTTTTTTTATGCTTCTGATTTACAAATTAGTGACTAGTTCCTCCCCATTTATTTTTATGGCTAATTTATTTATGTTATCAACCACATTATTTCCACATTATTTCTAAATGTGCTGATCATGCTCAAATTACAAGCTCACATCAACGGGAAAATAAAACTTTTTTGTTTTCTTTCATGATTTATGCACGATCATGTTCAAATGAAATTGCAATTTGTTTAACAGTGTGTGTGTGTGTGTGTGTGTGTGTGTGTGTGTGTGTGTGTGTGTGTGTGTGTGTGTGTGTGTGTGTGTGTGTGTGTGTGTGTGTGTGTGTGTGTGTGTGTATACTGTCTGTGCATGTGTGGATGTCAGTTCTTCCAAAAGGCCCCACCTAAAACCTTCTCAGCCAGGAAAGTTCTCATGTGTTCGTTGCCTGGCAAGGATGGAGGAGGATCAATGTCCCAACTCTTCCCCTCTCTGTGCAAGCATATGCCTTCCCAATACTACATATACTGAACTTTTATATTAATTTAATTCTGTTGAGATTGGTTTTACTCATTTTCAAGTTCCCCAACAAGAAAATCTAAATTAAAACATTAAAGCTCAGCACATTACTCGTTATCAGAATTATATTAACACTTGCATCATGAAAATTTCCCAATGAAACAGGTTAAATAAAAAACTGATTATTACATTTCTTTTCTTTGCATAAAATATACATGTATCTAATCAAAACCAGTATCATACATATTTATCACAATGATGAAAATACATTACTTCAAGGATGAGACATATCATTTACATAATACCATTTTTATCACCAATAAAGCTGTAACACTGGTAATTTTGATATCATATTCTAGGAATTGGAATAATATACAAAAAAGTAATGGCAGAATACAAAATAACTTATCCTGTATATATTCAACAAAATACCCGAACGAAAGAAACTGGGGATCAGGTTTTAATAAGGTTGTGCCAGTCGAGTCCTTTTGTATCGGTATTCTGTGAAAGAAGCAAGACGGAAACAAAGCCATGCACCACTCAGAAAAATGCTTTGTACAGTGATAAAGTATTTGGATCACTTTCATCTCAGCTAACTATGCTTTATCATCTGTTCCTTGTTTTATTTATTTATTTTTATTTTTTTTTTTTTTTGGGGGGGGGTGATGATTGTGAATTTTATGCATAAAATTATCTGATCTGATTCATGAATATAAATAATCCCAAGTCTGAAGCATACATCAAACTTCATGTGCCATCTCAAAGTTGATGGTTTCATATGTTTACAACCGCAGACCTAAATTTTGTATAGAAAAGGTTCATCGTCTCGGATTCTGTAGCAATGCCCATATGCAATGGAAAACAATATGATGTAACAACAAAACTTAAAACCAACAGCACTCCATTATTGTCAGATCACTATCTGCTGGGAAGTTCCATTACCTGTCAGCCAATGTTTACTATACAGTCTATTCACAATATATCTATTTTGCCAATTATATAACAGGTAAAATCTTATTAATGATGCAGTTTTGAAGAAAATATGAAGAACACAAGACATATATAGGCACTTCATTCCAATGTATGTTTCTTTTCTGTATCTTCTTTTGAAAAACCTTACCAAATATTCCTTCTATCTCTCAATGAAAAAGATTACCCAGTAATTAAATGCAAATACATTCCCTAAAAAAAAATATGAATATTAGTTTTCTGTGCTTCCCTATATGTAAGAACAGAGATTTTATAATTTGTTAATACTCTACTCCCACTCCTAAATCAGGAACATTGTTTAAACCCTAAATATTATCCTTTTCATGCTGGAGAGAAAAGTGAATATGAAAAATATAAACATTCTTGTATATAAATGTAATACAATACCATAACCTATTTCTTTATGGCATATATAAAAAATCCTACCTTCAAAACACTACAAGAAGCTAATGTTTTAAGTCAAATTAATGCACCTCTGTATACTCCAAGCATTTAACAATAGTGTTCACATAAATTTACAAACCTCTCACTAAACACGTCACAAACTCCAACCACAACTAAATAATAACAGACTGGATCACTTACCGAGAACCCGATAAGCTTTCCAAAAACTAGGTATGAGATGACACACACTATTGCATAAAAGATCACGTCCTTCTGCTTATCGACAAATCTCTAAATACATATTGTGGATATAAAAACTTAAGTAACAACATAACTGCAAGGAGGAATTATGACAATTATAAAATGAATCACAAGGTAAAGTATACAAGTAAAACAGCCATGGAGACAAAACTTAAAGAATAACTGCTACAACTCACAATGTCTAATAAGTTCCTCTATGGTTACTACCATACAACATTTAGAACAAGTTTGCTAATATCATTGAAAACAAAGTAAATGAGACTCCAAAGTGACTCAGGGTTAATAGAAACTATAAATATATTTATGTACACAAATGTGAAAAGGAGATGAATTTATGATTTTTTTTTTTATTTATGCACTTAATTACAATTTATTATTATAAAAAGAAAAAGAAAAAAAAATCATGCCTAACTAAAATTGCATTGTATGACAGAGGTAAGTCGTTGAGTCATTGAGGTATAAAGATGTAGTTCTCACAACTCGATTTCACCCTAAATATACCTTTTTTCGCTTTATATTCTGAGAATGAACTAAAGATAATGAACAAATAACCAAACACAAAACTAGTTACTGTGCTGTCCCATTGCAAGTCTAAAGTACTTGAGTTGTTTCAAGAGAAATGTTTCATAGCCATGTTCATGCTAGTTCCCTGCTGATTCTTGAAGCAAATTGAGCAAGCAGTTGTTAGTAAGTAGCCTTTTAGGAAGCCTGTCTTTTAGTCCCAATTTCAACCAACTCCCTTCCCCTTCTGAGCAAAAGACCAATGCTATTCCGTTAACAAGCCAGAGGAAAAGCTGAATCATTTGTGCTCATTATCAAATAAATGCATTCTCTTCAGGTTCACAGACTTCAAAATACAAATGTTCAGATATGGAAGAAGAAAGTCTAAAATGAATGGACTACTTAACCCAATGTCAGCGGGCTTATTTACTGTCCCCTTTAGATTTTAGTGAGTTTTGTTACACACAGATGGCTCCACGTGTACTCAACAGCAAGGAGTCTTATCAGTTGGCCCTAGTGACTGATCCTGATTTCCACATTCCTTGAATTGGCAGGAAAATGCATTTTTCTTTCCACTACTACCAATATTGACAGTGTTATCATTCTTATTGATATTATGCTTATTAAATTGTTATTAAAATATTAATGACATCAAAGACAATAAAATAATAGAAGAGAAGTTTTCAAAAAAATTAAAGAAAAATGTAAAATGAGATAAATAAGACTAATAGCTGACTCCTTGATGACTAAACACTTGTAGAGCCATCTATATGTAAAGACAATAGATAAACCTCTTATTACAGTGGGCATGGTATTGTAGTCTTGCCACCCGCACACACTGGGTTAAACATACAAACAAGAATGGCACTCATGATTTCCTTCTGTGAAGCAGGATTAAAGAATCTTTCAATCCCTTGTTTCCATCTATTCCTCATCGTCATCATCATTGTCATCATCATCATCATTCTCCTCCTCTTCGTCGTCATTCTCTTCCTCTCCTGCAGCGTAACTCATGACATGATTCAACTCAATCATATCGTTGTCGGAAAGGGAGCCTGTTCTGCGTCTCCGTAATTCATCAGAAACCTGAAAGGATGAGGGAAGACACTGCTTAAGAAAACAAACGAGAAGGAAAGAATGAAAGAAAAGAAAAAAAAAAGAAAAGGAAAAAATAAAATAAAAGAAAGAAAGAAAAAAAGGATACAATATAGAAGTCCTATCTTCTCAGTAAGAGAAAAAATAACAATAATAAATAAATGGAATATATAAATAAGTAAATAGTCAACTACATGTAAAAAAAAAATAAATAAATAAAAAACAAACAAACCCATAGAAAACAGTGGGAGTACCTGTCATCAACAGGTCAAATAATCTGACTTCATAAATCATCCTGAATTACTGCAATTAAAAACATATTTCTCAAAGCATATCACACACTATTGGCTTCTTAAGAGGTATACACCCATATACCTTACCTTATGGAAAAATTCTGTATTTGTGTTGGGTTCTGAAGCATAACCCCCTCCAACGTCGTCTTCGTCATATTCTGTTGAGGAATCTGAAACAAGAGGGATAAAAAAAAGTGTAATCTAAGAAATGAACTTCACTCTGATATCAATAAAAGCATTCTTTGTAACTTTAGAGAACTATGAAAAATATTCACTTGTGTGTTGTATAAGGTACTAAAGACAAATAACAAAATAACTATCTGAAGTGATTATGCCTACTCATATAGCTGAAAGAAAATTCACCCTTGCAATTATGTTTTATCATGATGATCATTCTTAAGAGCACAAAACATAATTATACATAAAATCCTGAAATTACTCTAAACAAAACAGTTACAATGCATCAAAGAATCCAAAATCCTTACCCTCAAGAACTGTGTTGGCTGTGGGCTTCTTAACAGAGCAGACAATCTGAGCTAAATCAGTAAAGTTAGTGGGTGATGCATCGAGGCTGATCTTTTGTCCCTTGCGATGATCTGCACAAGTGTTACTCAAGTGATAGACACTTTCCACAGTGCGGCCTCCCTTGAGCATTCCACTGAAGTATGTCTTGCCATGTTGATAGCCTACTTCCTGTCAGGCAGTAGAAGACCAGTCATTGCCTTGTGACAGTTATGTTCTTTATGCTAACAGTTAAAATCATTATAATAATACTGATAATAAGGATAAAAACAACACAGCAATGATAACAATAACACTAATTAAAATAATAACAAGAAATTAAGTTAACAATAAGTTTATCATCAAATGTGACCACTTCAAATTTCTTCTCCGCTCTTTCCTTAAGACTCATAAGATTATCTCAATCATTCACACAATTCATCTACAATTTAAACATTAAACTCTACTCCCTAAGAACTTCAAACAACAAACCTTAATTTCGTCAAAAGAACCAAATTGCAGAGTCTGGTATTTGTCGATGGGCGGACGAATATATTCGCAGTAGTCGCTAGATTTCAAGTCTTCCAGTTGCCGTGTACAAGACACATATGACAACCTTGATTGGATGTCATATAAATTGGGTACCTGAAAAATTTAAAGTACTAATTATCTCAGGGTGATAAAAAAAATTCTCATTAAACAAAAGAATAAAACCAAATAATGCAAAATACTAGAATTAAAACATTAACAACTGTTATCCACTCTCTCTCTCTCTCTCTCTCTCTCTCTCTCTCTCTCTCTCTCTCTCTCTCTCTCTCTCTCTCTCTCTCTCTCTCTCTCTCTCTCTCTCTCTCTCTCACACACACACACACATACACACACACACACACACACACACACACACACACACACACACACACACACACACACACACACACACACACACACACACACACACACACATACACATACACATACACATACACATACACATACACATACACATACACATACACATACACACACACACACATATATAAATGCAAATATCCACTTTGTTCTTCACACATAAACACATACACACACATCTATTCATCTATTACTACATCTATTCACATCAAACAACCAAGAAAAAATAAACCCATGAAAACACTTACCTTGAGCTCTTTTCTGAAGAAATACTTGAATGGGAAGACCCTTCTGATGAGCACACTCCACCCGGACAAGCAGTCGCCGTAATTGGTGAACTGCGTCTCGTACTGACAACCTACATCGATGGCTAAGATGCTGCCCACGCTCCACTTGTTTCGCATAACATCTCCTGTGGGGTTAATGGAAGGGGAAAAGGGGGGGGAGGGGAACAAAGAATAATATTAGTTTACATGACTGACTGACTATATGAGTATGACACCATGTATATCATCAAATTCATAGATAACATGAAATTATGAATAAATCATTATATCAATATGCAAAATTTACTGGTGATCTTAATATAACTTTGTACTATTATATCAATATCTTTTATGAATCTGTGTAATATAGAGTAATGAAATATGATTTAAACAATATCCATAAGAAGTCCTGCAATCAAAAACAGAAAATCAAAGACTCTGAAACAATTGCCTAATACTAGTCTTCAAAGCTAGCTAACTAAACAAGTTCCTATCAATCTATGAACCAGATCTGTTCCATACTTGTACAGTTCGTATATGAAATTATCTATATCTAATCTTCAAAGTTCCCTTTGCTAGTTATTACTGTTTTAATACAATATAGGAATACTTACGATGTATACTTCAATAAGATTATTACTTTTAAGAAGTAATAACAAAACCCAATAGTAACTTACCACATCCTCTGAATGAAGTACACTAAATTTAATGCCAAAATCTGCTCTTGTACATCCTTACCTTTAAAATAAATTCCTAATGTTTAGTTACACTTTAGTCAAACAGGTACTTATCTACAGATATCCTGAAAAGAAGTTTTAAAAATTTAGAAAGCAATGACAAATATAACCTAATAATCCCCACATCTATGCCATACCTGGAACATTATTGATGTAGCACCCATCAACCAGTAAATGTCCATCAAGTGGGTCAGGCATTGGTGGTAACAGCATAGCTATGGTCATGGAAGCCCGCACATAACGCCAGAGAACTCCTGACACAGGCCAGAGGGATTTGGTAAGAATACATGGAAAAATAACATACTTGAATGTAGTCCACGGAGATGGTCAGATGCAATGGTGGGTTAGTATAGGATGTGTTCTCTCAAATGGAAACAAATCAATGACCTTGACAGCAATAAGATTCTTAAATAAAATGTCATTCATTCCCAAAGTTGTGTTGTTAGTGTTTTACAATCTCAAGAAGCCATTTCCTGTGATGTGATTAATCCCTTCATTATCAAACTTTATCTGTAGGTACATGCATTCCTTCAATCTATGAGTAAGAAAATTACAGTTACCTATGTACCTACAAACATTATAATTGCTTCATCAGCTTCACTAATCATTTCACAGGTCTCTCTATGAATGTTTTGTAAATCCTTTTACATCTTTTGGTCACCTGAAGTTATTTCAAAAGTGCCTTTCTTTGCCAGAGGCCTTCATAATGATGAGATCTCAATGCCTAAACCTTGTTTTAAAGATGGACCTTCAAGACAATGTTTCATAACTGAACCCCTTATGAACATACTCCCTAGTATTTCACATGTGTGTGTGTAAGGTGGGGGTGAGTGGTGGTATAGAAGAGGCTAAGTAATACCGAAAATAATACAAAGCAATCTCTCTTGATGCTATCCTCTTTTATGATTACAGCTTGAAGAGCTACCCAAGTAAATTGAATTTAACCCAATGGCCCAGGATGGCAAAAATACATGCCCTGTACACTGTGATGTTTGTTTAGTTATTGTGTATACAAATAGATGGCTCCACAATTGTTTAGTAATAAAGGAGTCAATTATTAGACATACCTATCTCCCCTGTTTATCCTTTGCCTTGATTTTCAGAAAGATTTTTTCCTATAATTTTATAATTCTTTATTGTTATTAGTATTTCTGTAACACTATTATAATCATAATGTCAATAATAACATGATGATAACATCAATGGCAATAGAAAAAAACATTTTCCTACAAATTCAAGGAATGAGGAACTCAGGCATGGTCACTAGGGCCTTCTGATTGTGGAGCCAACTGTATGTAACAAAATTAACAAAAAATTACAGTTCACAGTACATAAATCCAGGACAATGGGCTAAATCTTACTATACTCCTGTTTCATGAAGTTCACAAACTTATTAATAATGGAGGATATCAACTAAAGAGATTTTTTAAAATACCCTTGAATTACAGACCTTTTATCATGCATTAAAATCACATGTTATCAATCAATGGTTTCAATAAATGCAGGAAATAGACCTGGCTACTGTAATAATCACAGGTAATCAGGTAAAGAATAACATTGCCTCAACCACTTCCAGCACTCTAGTAAGGAACTTTTTTACCAACACACAGGTTACGACCAAACAAAATGAAAACAAAATAAAAATATGCAAAACAGAGAGAGACTGAAAGAAGAAGAGAGACTTGATCACAAACTGGAAAGGTTCTACAGACTGAGACAACAGACAATGCTAATGGAACTTTGTTTTTCATTATCTTTGCAAGCCTAAAGACAGATTTCTTTGTGATGCTTTGGTTACATATGGAATTAGATAACCCATTCTCATGCAAAGTTTAGTGAAGATACAGATTTATTCATATTATGTTTTTGCTCTATAGAGGCTCTGAGGTTCCACAAGATCCTAAACCTCAGGTTACAAGAATTGCCTTGTTTTATGTAACTGGGTCAGATTGCAAGCAAAAGTATTAGTCCTTATATTAAAAGTATAATGTGAGTTTTGATAATTCAGCCCATTCTAAATTGACAACATTCAATCTTAATACTTTTCCTTAGATTTCAAAATTCTAAATAGTATACTTCACATATTCAAACATATTGTTGCTATACAAGAAAGAGTTAAAAGAAATCCATGATAAATGTACTTTGAGAATAAACAATTTTTTTTTTTCACTTTCTTATGGAACTGACATACAATAGAAGACAGTAGAAAAATAATGATATATAAAAATAAATATGAAATGATCATAAATGGAATTAATTACTTTTAGTTCACCATGAAAACCTGACAATCAATGTAAATTCAGTAATTATTTTTAACAATTATTCTATAATAATTCCCCAATTAGTTTCACTATCAAAATAAATTAACAATTACATATCATTGTTTTCAATAATGAAAGTAGTCAGTTTGTTTGCTTGTTTTAAAACATCACTTCTTTCCCTCTTAATTACTTCCAAGAAAATTCTGGCAACACAACTATATTATACAACCAGTGGGACATTTATATCTCAAAATCATTGTATGTTCAAGCTGAATTTTATATTCATGTAGGTGTATAAAGGAAAACAACCTTTAATATCACACACTGTAAACAAGCATATCAATATTACTCTCTGCTTGTTGCAGTTTAAACTATTACTGGTTCCTCAGAATATGATGTTTTCTTTGTGCCTTCCATATACAAGAGTAACTATACTATTTTATACTATATAGTATAAAAGAAAGAAAGAAAAAAAGAACAAGTTAAAAGGTAAAATATATGAATAATAAAAATTATAGAAGGAAAATTAAATAAGATTAAATATACACATATGGGCTAATGCATTTTTCATGTTACAATACTTTGATGTATAATGCAAATGAGATGTTTAATGATATAAAAAATATATAAACTAAAAACAGAACTTGACTCCTCTCTACTGTAATCAATGCCCAGACTTGATAATTTTGGTCAAGTTGCCTTGTATCTCTGTACTAAGTATCATGTTTTATCAATTATGAGCTGTCAACATAAAGTGGGTCAATATCATTCTGAATCCAATGACGCTATTTTTACAATAAATATCTTGTGTGTAGGAATATGATTTCTGAAAGGCATGAATATCCACAGCATCCACAGGTAAGATAGGCATAGAAGTGGTCATACAAACTTATATCCTTAAAAAACAATTTGTCTATATCTGATTTTTAAAAAGCATTTGCAATGGTAATAAAAAATGTACCATTCTGCACTTATTAGCAAGAGAAAATAAAATCATGCATTCAAGGAGCAGTAGCTTAATAGTTTACAGTAACTGCAACAAAAATGTAAAAGAAAGAAGCTTTATTATGATTTTTGTTCCTATTAGTACTAGAACATGCGATGCTAATAATACACACAAATGCCTGAAAGGCACTTATGTACACTATCAATATCATATATTCTAGATGTATTACTGAACACATTCTTAAGGTTTTAAAGTGGTAAGTGAATATCTGATTTGTTCCAGCATTTTTGCATTCAACTAAAAATGCTCTATCATCCCCCAATCAACACCTATTTGCATTCAAATTTTTAAGTGTGGTAGTTAGTTGAAGAAATTAGTACCTGTTGGCTGCTACTACTAAACTTGGTTACTTCACTGTTACAACTAGTAGTGACAGTTAACACACCTTGCATCTTATCAGTAGCTCTTACTCATGGCACAGCAACTGGGACACATACCAAGGTGTCTCTACTCAACAAATTTCTGTGCTGAGAAAAGGAAAATCATTATAGAACAGCTTCCCTCGAGGGCATTATTCTAGAATTTTATTACAGGATCAAACAATAACATAAATGATTGGATGAGGTTAGTCACACAATACTAAGGGATGTGATACAATTACATATAATGATTTCCTCTCTTAGTGCACACTTCACACAGCAGGGTGTAAGCTACATTTTCCATGAAGTACTGAAAGACTGCTTGTTGGGTGGGATTTGTTGTCTACAAGCCAGCAATATTAAGATATTAGTTACTTACCAGGATTTCTCAATATAAGCTTTGTGACTTTCTTGTTAGCTAAATAAAAAATACAAGTCGCTGCATTTTCTCAGTGACTTACTTACCGTCATGATCTGACAGGAGCAATATCTTGGACTGTGGCAACAAGCTACCAGATATCCATAATAACATCATAATTCACCAAACTTATCATTTCTTGTATACTGCATTGTCAATGTACAATTCGAAGTAAAAGCCATCAATTTACAAAACTAAAAAATACAATGCTTTAAAAACTGCATTCCTGTCTATATTCATAACCATATATTCTATTCTGGTACAAGTATGGAACATAACATTTAGCTTCTTTGCACAACTTTCTAAGTCTTACTAATCACTCTATTATATTTAGACTAAATCAAGAATGGACCTCATTACAAAGGAACTAATATGTGCAATGCCCTAATCTATTAATGAAAGCTTATGCATTTCATCATTAAACTAATCTAATTCAATTGTAATAAACAAAAAGGCCATTTTCTTAAAAAAAACATTCCATATTTCTCCTGACAGCCACTGGAAAGGCTGTATATCCTACCTAAAAAAACATGCACTTTTAGAAGAATATACTTATATAAAAATTAGCCATCTAATTTTTATCTTATTTACTACTGACTCCTATCTCTTCCAAATAAGTCTACAGCATTTATCACAGAAACAATAAAATAAAAAAAATATATATATATAACATGTGTATGTGTGTGAAGTGGGGGTTCCAACCAGCCCCTGTACCTGGAAGATTGTTGACATATCCACCGTCAAGGAGCATGTGTCCGTCGTGTGGGTCGCAGATGGGCGGCATGTAACCTGAGAGGGACATTGATGCCCTCACGTATCGCCAAGTGCTTCCTGTAATACCCACGCATTCTTAATTTTTGTTCTCTTACAACTTTTACCTCTATGCTACATACATATATATACTTCGTTAGGGTGTGTGCAGAAAATTCTATCGACATATGCAATGTATATTATATATATATATATATATATATATATATATATATATATATATATATATATATATATATATATATATATATATATATATATATATACATATATATATACATATATATATACATATATATATACATATATATATACATATATATATACATATATATATATACATATATATACATATATATATATACATATATATACATATATATATATACATATATATACATATTTATATATATACATATACATACATATTGATATATAT